ATCTATCTATCTATCTATCTATCTATCTATCTATCTATCTATCTATCCATCCATCCATCCATCCATCCATCCATCCATCCATTATGTACCTAACTACATCTATCTGTCTATCCATCCATCCAGCGATTTGAAATCCCCACAGGTGTTATTTCTGCCTTCATGGGAGTCACTTACTCTGGGCCAATGGAAGGCTGGAGAAGGCGCTTTTCACCCGTCCCGAGAGCCACTCCAGGCTCTCGTGCATGTTGGCCAGGGCCTTCAGATCGCTGACATCCTGGAGAATCTCTGGCTGGGGAATCAGTTTATCCCCCAGGTTCCCAATCAGGACCTCAGACTCCTTGCTGAAGGCGGTCCTAGGAGAAAAAGACGGCAAGGCAGGTGTCAATCACGTACAACAGCATTATTCCCCCTCACTCCCTTTTCCTGGGAGACCGAAAAAGACCAAAGGAGTATCTTTTTGGTTGACCTTGGCAACTGCGACGATTCCCTTAACAACAGTGGAAAGAAAAGCCGTACAATGGGGCAAATCTCACTCGCACCCATAAGACAATGCACAGGTGACACCCTGCGCTCCCCCTGCCTCCCTGTACATGCGCACACATCTCCCGCATGCACCCTGCCCCCCACCAAGCATGGGCGGCAGATACCCGAAAATCAGCTGGCTGAGCCAGGGAGACAGCTTGAGTGCCTGCAGAGATGGCTCTGCGTGCCACTTGCAGCACGTGTGCCATAGGTTCACCATCATGGCCCTATATTATATACTATTTCCCCCAAAAGCCTCACCCAATCACCCATTGGCTCAATCATGCCTCCTTTCCAATGACTTTAGTGGCACCCAACTGCATTAGCCGGTGTCAGTTTCCAGCAGGAAATATTTCCAATCTTATGAGTTTTTAACACCAGAGAAAAAAAAATGATTTCTGATATTCTTTGGTTGTTCTCGTCGGTCACAGTTCAGCTGCTGCAGTCAGTCTGTGATGAGCCCAAAACACGGTCAGATAATCATAGGAGTCCCTTTATTAGCTCCAACTTTGCCCCCAACTTTGTCCAGGTTACCTTCTGGCTGGAGAAAAACTCTCCCAGGAACAGCCTTTGGCTGCAGAGAATCAAGTCCAAAACGTGGTCAACAAAAACTGTAACTATAAGTCCAATCAAGGCAAGATGAGATGATTAGTCCAGCAGGGCAGAAGCAAGTTTTCCAGACGTAAAGGCATGGCAAAACTCAACATGGTTGGGAGGACGCCAGGAACACAGATAAGCAAAGTCATGTTGGCTCCCAGCAGCTGCCGCACTCAGCATGCATTTCTTTTAAACGTTCATTCCCAGCTGTGGCTAATGAAGGGAATCAGGGCCCTTTCCTCCCTCGTAAGCCACGCAACCCACATTGCTCCCTTCTCCGTTCTTCCCTACATGCCCTAGAATGAAGAGGAGGTGGGTCTGGGTCTTCCTCTGAACCCCCTCTCCCTTGGTTCTACCTCTCCCCTGCTCTGCCCAGCTGGACTTTGCCCTTCCCCAGTTTCCTCCACAGCCAACGAGCCAGTCTCCCGCTCCCTGTCGGCTGTTTGTTTTCCTCCTCAGATTCAGACTCTGACACGGGCATGACAGTGCCGTTGTAAATTGAAATGTTCACTAACTGAACTGTCATAACTCGAAGACTACCCGCAGCTGGTTTGAACTCTATAGACGTGAGTCTAGTTGTATGTGCCTGACACTTGGTGTGTTGCGCAAACCCAGCCAATTTGGTGGCTTAATCCACTGTTTCAACCTAGAAAATACTTAACTCACTAACCAGGTTAAAGGTAGTGAAGAAAAAAGAAACTAGGTTGAAAGCAACTCTTTCATTCCATTGAAATCTGCAGGATTTAACTTCATCATCGCCAGCCTGGAAACTGAGTGGTGCGGTGGCCTAGAGGTGGAGCTCTCCCCTCACAATCAGGAGGCTATGAGTTCGATCCTAGTTAGAGGCAGATATTTCTCTCTCTGGACACACTAGAATATATCTGTTGCGAAATCCGCATTGGAGACAGGAAGAGCATCCGGCCAGTAAACACTTCACTCCATCCAGTTTGCCCTGACTCCATCCTGATGCAAGGGATTATGGGGTCATTAAAAGACCAAAAAAAAATAATAATCACCAGCCTGGGACTCTTCACACCATCTTTGTTTTAATTTAAATATTTTTATCCCTCCGTCCCCCTTTCTGGTTTTTGAAAGATTACCCAACCATGGAGTAGAAAAGCTGGGACAAACGGGGAGAAAGCTAACAGGGAGAAAAGGAACACGAACGAGTTAGTTTGACAAGGAGACCCAAATTCATTGGAAGCCTCGTATTGCAATGAACAAGGACATGTATTCAATTGCAAACTACTGCCATTGTCGGCCGAGCAGGGACAAAAATAGCCGAGAGAAATGATTGAAGCCTGGAAACAGGCCCCCTTGTTGATTCCCCGCCAGCTTATCAGGAGCCAAGGGCACAGCGGCACGACGACAATCAACGACTCTGTTGTGGTTCGCCGGCAGCCGCTGCAGATGGCAGTGGAGTCAGACAGTGAGGAAGAATGGGAACCAGTCAGGGAGTCTGGAGAGGACTCGGATGAGGGTTCTGCATCCGATGCAGGGATGGGGCCAGGACCATCTGGGAGTTGTGTGCTGACTCCGGAGCCTAAAGAATCTGGCAGCAACAAGGCAGAGGAATAAGGGGAGCCTGGTCCCAGTGAGCGTGTGCACAGAGCGGCCAGAAGGCAAGACAAAAGGGGCGACTTGAGAGTAAGGCTGGGAGGTGATTGCCCCTCCCATAAGAAACAAAGGATAGGCAAAGGTGAAGAAACCTTTGCAGGAAGCAAAGTCGTTTGTTCGGTTCAGATTAATCCTTGAAGCTCTGTAAACTCTGATTGTTTTTTTTCTGGTACTCTGGTTGGTTTCTGTTATAATTAATTGGATACTTCTGTTTTTGGCAGCATTGGAACCCTGACCACAAAACTGAAAGGTATGTGATTATCTTGGGGAACTGTTTTAAGATAAAATAGGTTTGCTTTTCAATCAAGTTTGTGTTTAATTATGTTTGACGAAACAGACTGCTCTGGGTCAGAACAGACTCAACAGCCAGCCATCAACACCCTAATTGATAACAAAAAGCTACACACAAACCAGGCACCATAAAATGCAGGGTGTAGAACAATCCAGTGCAGATATTTTGGAGGGAGAGTTGCTCTCTGAGGATGGGCTCCATCCAGGATGAGCCTGAAAGCTTGGAAGAATAAACCTTTGGTTCTGGTGACCGACTCAGACTGGATCCTAGAATAGCTGTGTTTCAAAATCAAGCCATTATTTTAGTGAGTTCACTTTACTTTATTGTCATTGCACCTCGTACAACGAAATCAAACACCATCTTCAGTGCACATCATGACCATGAAAATAAACACAAACACCCATCCTTCACCCTTCACACACTGAACCGAAAACCCCCGACACCACACCAACACCGCACTATACAGCAGAATTCAAAAGAGCTACCGCCCTGGGATAGAAGCTGTTTTGCAACCTATTTGTCCTTGTTTTTATTATTCTGTACTGTCTGCCAGATGGTAATAGTTCCAAAAAAAAAAAAAAAAAAAAGGCTGCCCAGGATGAGATGGATCTTTGAGAATGCTTTGAACTTTCTTAAGGCAGCGGGAGCTATGAAGCTCTTCCAAAGAGGGGAGAGGACAACCAAAGATCTTCTGGGAAATGACATTAACCCTCTGGAGTACTGTCCTATCTGCCACTGTGCAACTGGCAAACCCTACACAGGTGCAGTATGTTAAAATGCTCTCTATGGTGCAGCGGTAGAAGGTCCCCAGCAGTTTTTCATTCGGCTGTTGTTTCCTGAGAAGCCTCAGGTAGTATAATCTCTGCTGGGCCCTTTTGACCAGGGCTGCAATGTGAGCCCCCCCCAGGTCAGGTCCTCTTTTAGGGTAACACCCAGAAACTTAAAACTGGTCACTTGCTCCCCTCGGTCTCCCTTGATAAGCCAGGGCTGGATGTCTGATCTGTTCCTTCTATATAGTCCACTATCAGCTCCTTGGTCTTATTGGTGTTGAGGACCAAGTTATCGTCTCCACACCACGAAAGCAACCGGTCTGACCTCATCTCAGTAGGCAGACTCATCCCCCCTCTGGAGATAAGTCCCACCACTGTTGTATTATGTTCTTCTATAGGGGGAAGGGAAATCCAATCAATTTCAACCGCACCGGACCAGGTTGGCTCCAGATGATATGGAAAGGGTAGGAATTCCTTAACGTAATTTTCCTAATGGACTCCGGTAAGCGGTAATAAGCGGCCTCTTGCCCATCACAAGGGATTTCTAAAACAGCTTTAGTAGCTTCCAAGAAGCTTTCCCAGGTATCCCAAGGGGAGGAAGAGGTCAGCAGCTGGACCACGGAAGCGAAGAAAATTGATCCAGCGGTCAGACGGTCCCCAATGGAGTCCACTGCTAAAGTCACGCCCGTGTGAGGAAGCAACCCACAAAGAAAACCTTAATCAGTTCAGCCCAATTTCACTGGTCTACAAATGTCGGGATATGATCATTCTCCGAGATTAAAAAAAAAAAAGGTGTGAATTTTACATAGTTCGATTAGATGGATTAGAAAACGGGCGAAAGGTGGTCAAGTTTTCAAGCTATTTCACAACAAAAGGCGAGTAGATTTGCCTACAAGGGAAGGGAGTTAGCGAATGATCACGATGCTTCGTAACTCCTCGACAAAGTTGTTCTGACCCAGACCTTCCCAAGATCCTGAAGCTGACTCCTCATCCTGATAAAACCCCTTTTATTTAGGTTAAGGGGAATTCCTCCCTAGCAAAGTCCCGGCAAACGGTCTTTCAAGAGATTTCACAACTGCAGACCTTTATCAGGCTAGGAGAGTTGCCAGGCCGATAGCTTCCAAACGCCACGCTGACGCAGCAATGAGTTGACAAGAAGTCAGGAACAGATCTTCACCCTAATGAACTGAACTAATTTCTCCTGCAAACCCCACTCCCCTTTTGCTCCTCTTTATTCCCCATGGGAGGGGCCATTCACCGTCCACCTGGGGCTTTATTCCCGAGTCGACCCTTGTTCCTCAGCTGTTCCCTTCGTCTGGCAGCTCTGTGCATGCGCACATTGAGAACAGGCTCCAGCTGTTCTTCTTCCCCATTGATGTCTGACTCTGAAGGTAGCTGATAACTGTCGGACGGCCCTGGCCTCACCTCTGCCTCCGACGCAGAGCCCTTCTTAGAGCCTTTCCCAGACTCCAGGACTGGCCTATGCTCCTCCCCAATCTCCTAACTGTCCGAGTCTGCCATCAGCTCCACTGGCGGGCCACAACAAAAGTATGGTAGAACAATGAAAAGAGTATCACCTGGAAGTTTATAAATTTATCTTCACTTTGAGAACAGGTAAGCTGTTATGCCCCCGTTGGAGCCTGAATCTGCAGAGGAGGGTGAGCCAGAGCTGGAGCCAATGGAAATCAAGGGGGTGGCTTCATTGGCTTTGGAGGAATTTGGAGAGGACCAGGCCGAGGCATCCCAGGACCCCTCAGGATTGGGACAGCTTTTTAGCAGGGAGGAATGGGGCAAGTTGATCGAGAGAGGGCAAGCAGTAGAGATGAGTAGCAACGGAGCTCAGGCGATGAGCAAGGACCGCCCCCTCCTGATCTCTGAGCACGGAGGGTGGAGAGAAGGCGGGAACAGTGCAGGCCGACCCAACAACTCGGGAGGAGGGTGCCCCACCCCTCGTCATAAGGCACACCTGGGGACTGAGATTTAAGGAGACGCTGTGGGGAGGGGCATTCGTTGGGGAAAAAATGCTGCATTGGTAAAGTTTGGTGTGCCGGTACAGACATTTGGAGTTTGCAGGACTACTGTCATGACCCGGGGTGTGAGACAAAAATAACCAAGTCACAAAAGTAGAATAAATTCCCTTTAATGCCTCCATCTTGGCCCCCAATGTCCAATTATCCTCGGCTGGAGATCAAATTCTTCCAAAAAACAGTCTACAAAGGGAAGAAATGCAGTCCGAACCCAAAGTAAAGATAATTAGAAATAAAAGAAACCAACACAAACCACATTGAAGGAATTAACACGGCAGGCCAGGATGATAAATTGCAGACTTCCACAAGATAACGCAGCACCCACAGTCGGGAGGACGCCAAAACCCAGATAAGCCTCGACAAAGATAATGCACGCTTTGCTTCCAGCAAGGAGCTGTGTGCAAACGCCCCACTTATATCCCGTTCTCCCAGCTGCAACTAATGAAAGGGATCAGGGCCCTTTTCTCCCCCGTAACCCATGTTGCTCCCTTCTCCGTTCCTCCCTGCATGCCCTAGGATAAAGAGGGGACGGGCCTGGGTCTTCCTCTGAATGCTCAGCCGGACTGTGCCCTTCTCCCGTATCTTCCACAGCCACCGGAGCCACACTCCCACTTCCTGTCAGCTGCTCAATCTCCCCCTCAGAATCAGACTCCAACAAGGGTGTGACAGCTACTTGCTTCTTCCTGACTTCATGGACTCATTGTTTGTTCCTTGGTTTGTGGACTCATTGTTCCGTGTTTCATAGCCCACCATTAAGAAGATGGGAGTCCAGGTTTAACAGTGATTTACATCCACGGATGTTAAGGAAGAACCCACCTGATGAAGTCTTCTTCTTCCTCTCTTTTAGGTCTCAACTGCTTGGGCTGGGCCATGTTGCTCCAGTTGGGAAGAGACTTCAAGAGTCTGGTGATGTCGTCGTCTTTGGCCCAAGACGCGCTGATCACCATCTTGTCATCGGATTGGACGATGCCCCTAAAATAAACCAAAGAACCAGAGGACAGGGTTTAGAAGAAGAAAGCCCGGTTTGGCCATGTACTGCAGGTGGTCCTCAACTTACAACTGCAATTGAGCCCCAAAATTACTGTTGCTAAGCGAGACAGCTATTCAATGACTTATGCCCCAATTTTGCGACCATTTTGGCACAGCTGTTAAGGGAATCCCTGAAGATGTTAAGGGAATCATGCCGGTGTTAAGCAAATCTGGCCTCTCCCATTGGCTTTGCTTGTGGGAAGCCGGCTGAGAAGGTGTTGTGGTTCGCCGGCAGCCTGTGCAGTCAGCAGCAGAATCGGACAGTGGGGAAGAACAGGGACCAGTCCGGGAGTCTGGGTCCTGCGTCCAATGCAGAGATGGGGCCAGGAACATCTGGGAATGGAGTGCTGACTCCAGAGCCTTCTAGCAGCAAGGAAGAGGAGCCAGGGGAGCCTGTTCCCAGTGCGCATATGTGCAGAGCTGCTAGAAGGCGAGAGCAGCTGAGACAAAAAGGGTGACTCGGGAGTAAGGCTGGGAGGTGATTGGCCCTCCCCTAAGGTATACAGGACAGGCAAAGGTAGAGAAACCTTTGCAGGAAGCAAAGTCATTCTCTCTGTTCGGATTAAACCTTGAAGCTCTGTGTGGACTTGGTACTTTGGTTGGTTTTTTTACAGTTCATTTGGCACTCTAGTTGTTGGCAGCGATTCAAATGAGATGAAAGGTGGGTGCTTATCTCGAGGGACTGTTTGGGATTCATCACGGGCTGGGAATGAACATAATTCCCAGCATTGCAATAAAACAAAGAGTTGTCTGGACTAAGTGTGTGCTTAATTACGGTCTCAGGAAGCCTTAGTCAGAACAGAAGGCCACAAAAGGGGATCACATGATGCCAGGAAGTAAATACATGCCAGTTGCCAAGCATTGGCATTTTGATCACGTGATAGTCGAAAGGGTGAAAGCCAGTTACAAATCACTTTTTTTTCCGTGCTGTTGTAACTTGGAGCAGTCAAGCTAAACAAATGGTTGTAAGTTAAGGTCTCTCTCTGTAGAGAGCAGGGGTGTCAAACACAAGGCCGGTGGATGTGGTCGGATACGGTTCGCGGGGGCCGTCCTGGAAAATGTAAGGGAGCAGCCCGTGTGGCTTCGGCCCAGTCTACCCAGTGTGAAGAGGAAACATGCCAGCAGTTTGGGGAGTGGCGTCAAGCTGCCCATGCCCACCCAGTCGGCCACGCAACCCCCCCCCCCCCCGAGGTCAACCACAGCCCTGATGTGGCCCTCAATGAAATTGAGTTTGACACTACTGCTCTAGAGGGTTGCTTATTTCCAGATCGGGGGTAAATAATATAGATATTTCATTGCAAGGCAGGCTAGTTGTAGGAGAAGAGCAGGCAGAAGCCAGGGGTGGAGTGAAGAGAGTCATCAGCCTAGAGTCATTACGTTGCCATAAATGGTCTAAGTCCAATTTCATTGATTCTTATATCTTGAATAAATTTAGGGTCCCACCACCTTAATCAACTAGATTGTTGCATACAGGTAGTCCTCGACTTACAACGGTTCATTTAGCGACTGCTCAGTGCTGTTATATCAGCACTGAAAAAGAGAGACTTATGACTGTTTTTCACACTTTTATGACCAGGGCAGCATCCTCATGAAATTATATGATCAAAATTCAGAGGCTTGGCAAACTGACTCACATTGTTGTGCTAACAGCCTTTTGCAGGAGTACTTGCAGCCAGAGGCTGCTAGAAGTGTGTGTGTGTGTGTGTGTGTGTGTGTGTGCGAGCACTTTGCTCTGGGACTTGCCATAAACGTGGGAGTGTTTGGGGGAAAGTTGGAGCAGTTAAAGGGGCAGTTTGAACGATCAGCCGATTCTGTTGCCTCCGTGCCTTGCCCCGAAACTCATCACATGTGCCAAGCACCAAATGCAAAAATTGGAAAGGATATGAAAGGAAAAGCTGTCTTGAACAACGAATCACTCCCCCTCCCTGCATCCGTATGGGAGAAAGTCCAATCGTTCTTCCTAGTATTCATATGACCACGTCATATATTTTTTTGCCAGCAAAAAAAGGCACCAGGTCTTATTTTGGGGTGATGTCATCCACTGACTAACTTCACTTGTGCACATTGCCTCCGGCCTCCTTTTCGCTGTCGGGAACCTCTTCTTCTGCGGCCGGCAAGGCTTCTGCAGCCAATAATGGAGTTCTGGATCGATCCAGATCCTTGCCAGCTGCAGAAGAAATGGGCCGGAAAGGCAGGTGTCGGGGTGTGTGAGACCTGGCTACAACTGTCCAAAGGTAAGTGGTAGTGCAGCTGCACCCCTGCCCCCGACATTCCCACCCTAGTTTAATTTTTACCTGTGCACCCTGGAATGGGTGGGATCTTAATTAGGGCTTATTGGGCGGGGGGGGGGGGGGTAGGGCTTATATTGGGCGTAAACTAAGACTTATTTCTAAGGTAGGTCGTATTTTGGAGGAAACAGGATAGGAAATTGTGCAAACTTTAAAACATTTTAAAACGATATCTTACTGAAGCCTAGAGCCATTTATTTCTCCAAAAAGGTTGATCAGGGGACTAACGTATTAATTTACTACCAGCTCTTTACACTTAAGTGGAATTTATCAGCGTAGGCATTGGGTTCTGTTAGAGGTTAGTTAGTTCAAATGCGTGCGCCGAGCTCTCTATTGGCTCAAAGAAAACAAACTTATGCCAACCGTGACTCCTATTTCACTCCTATTCTTTCTATCATTTTACAAGCAGGGAAGAGGACGTGCTTGATTCTTAGAAATCTTTCTGGTATTGTGTTTTTGTATTTCTTTTTTTTTTTGTAAATTTTATTGGTTTATAAAAACAAACATAGACAAACAAAACATAAAAACATCATACTTTCCTCCATAGGTATACAAGCAGTGTGCCGGTTGGTTTACAATTTTTTTTTGTGTGTGCATCCATTTCGTAGTCTTCAGTTACAGTTACATTGCATAATAGCTCATATTATCAATCAAAAATGGAATACCCTAGTATCATTATTAATCAATCATTTGACTATAGTGTTATTCATTCATATTTTACGAGATAACTATAATTTACTTAGTTTATTTTATAACAATTCATATTGTCCTCCCAAATCTATCCTAAAAACATTTTGTAGATATAATAAAAAAGAAGTACATCTTTATATATTTATTATTTTCGTGTTTTTGTATTTCTTTTGAATGAAAGATCAAGCTATGCTCGCGCCTTTTATTCTCGAAGGGTGAAAATTCCAAAACACGGATAAATTTCTTCCTTTGTGTTGGCCCCCACAGGTAGGCCAGAGAGGAAACACCAGGAAATGAGCTAATTTGTATTTTATTCGAAGGCTGCGTTAACTGAATCTTGCAAAACCTGAGAAGCTAGGGAGGGTCCCTTCTGAATCGTTTTCTCCACCCATCATGCAGCTCTGGGCTAGGCCCTCCCTTATCTGACTGTTCTCTACAGCTAAAACTCTCTTATTTGCAAAAGGGTGCTCATTCACACCACATTCCAGTAAGTCGTAAGTACCAAATGTGTTTTTTTTTCAAAAGGCAACTGGACTTTCTTTGTTCTTCATTGAAGAACAAAGAAGACCTTTCACCCCTCATCCAAGAAGCTTCACCGGTTCTGACTGAATAGCGAGGGAATGACATCATGCAGTCAGAACTGAAGAAGCTTCTTGGATGAGGAGAGAAAGGTCTTCAAGAAAAAAACCAAAAACAAGATTCTCTAATTCTATATTATAGCTGAAGGTTTTTGCCCAGACAATCATCGTTTCTTTGACTATTTCTTCCTCTATTTTATAGTTCAGTAAATGGAAAAAACTTTGGGACATAAATTACAAAATGACTATGGCCTCAGCTTAACAAAGAAAATCTTTATAAGGTGTTTTATACCTGCAAGTTTGGCAAAAATGTTCAGCAACCTATCTGCTAAATGTTGGAAACGCAACCAGGTTGCAGGCACCTATTACCATAGGTGGTGGGCATGCGATAAAGCAAGAAAATATTGGGAGAATATACATAAATGGCTGGAAACGATAACTGAACAAAATATTGAGTTTAAACCAGGAACGTGCCTTTTAGGTATATACTATCAGAGGATTATGACAAAGCAACCACATACTTAATGTTACATATATTGACGGCAGCAAAGATTATATATGCTAAATACTGGGGGGGAAATGAATACTCTACCAGATGAGGTTATAATTAGGATAATTTGGGACTATGCTGAAATGGATAGATTAACTTTAAAAATGAAAGACAAAGACATTCAGAATACTTTTGGACATGGAATAAATTCTATGAATGGATAAAGAAAAGAGCTAGACATTGGATAAAGTAAGATTATAAAGGTTAATATTACATATAGTGAAAATAAAGAGGTAGATAAATATAAATGTAGTAATTGATAAAAATGTAGTTAACTTAATGTAAGAAGAAGCCTAGATCAATTCTTTTGGTTATACTATTAGTACTGTTATTAGCCATTACTATTGCTATTAGTTTGTATGTTGAAATTTATTACCAACATATGTTGGTTGTGCTTTATTTGTAAATAATGCTCTGCCAGTGCACTGTTATTCAAAAATGTTTATGAATGTTTATGAATATTATTCAGAATGTTATTCTAGCTGTCAGGGCTCTGACAATACACCCCCATTCAAATCATAAGTCTCTAGCCACATCTGTCAGAGTAAAAAAATAATAATGATTTATTGGGAGTCACCATGTTGGTGTTAGCTGGATGCAGCCGACACTAAGACCCATCATTCATTTCCCCCTTGACCCTGGTCTTCCTCC